GGCTTCCTTCCCACAGCAAGAGAGAAGGGAGGGCAGGGAGGGAGAGAGACAGAGACAGAAAGAAGGAGACAGAGACAGAGGAGAAAAGAGGGAAAGAGAGAGAGACAGAGAGAAAGAGACAGAGACATAGAGATCATGAGAGATAGAGGAAGACACAGAGAGAATGAGAGACAGAGACAAAGGGAGAGACAGAGACAAAGGGAGAGACAGAGACTCAGAGATATGGAGAGACAGAGAGAGACATGAGAGACAGAGACAAAGGGAGAGACAGAGACACAGAGATAATGAGAGATAGGAAGAGACAGAGACAGATGAGAGAGGGAGACACAGAGAGAGACATGAGAGACAGAGGGAGCAACAGGCAGCACTCGGGAGGGAGAAGAACACCTGCGGTGGGTGCTGGGCACGGGGGGGACCATCCGTGTGCTCAGACACAGCCTGGCCCAGAGGACACCAGCCCAGCCCCCTTCAGAGCCGGCCACATGGCCTAGCCGTTGCTCTCCTCCCTCCTGAGAGCCCCGTCCCACACCCAGGAGCCCGTCCCACACCCGGGAGTCCCATCCCACACCCGGGAGCCCCGTCCCACACCCAGGAGCCCGTCCCACACCCGGGAGTCCCATCCCACACCCGGGAGCCCCGTCCCACACCCGGGAGCCCGTCCCACACCCAGGAGCCCGTCCCACACCCGGGAGCCCCGTCCCACACCCGGGAGCCCGTCCCACACCCGGGAGCCCGTCCCACACCAGGGAGCCCCGTCCCACACCCGGGAGCCCATCCCACACCCAAGAACCCTGTCCCACACCCGGGAGCCCATCCCACACCCAAGAACCCTGTCCCACACCCCGGAGCCCTGTCCCACACCCGGGACCCCTGTCCCACACCTGGGAGCCGCCTCTGAGCACCTGACATGTGCCCTCCGAGCTGCACTTTTAATTATCACTTAAGTTTAGTAGATTCGAACTTCAAATTTAAAACTGACGCTCCATTCAGCTACTCAAAAGCTTTTAAGTGTGCTGGAACAGCTTGGATACGTGGCCAACCCCGTCGTCAAATTCCGTAAGGAAGACGAGAGCCAGAGCGAGGGCGAGACGGGAAATCCTCTCGGTCCTCCGGCCACGAGCAGGGCAGGAGTGTCGCCGTGGGGGCGGAGTCTGGTGCTTGCTGATCACATGCGTGTGATCCCATGCGTGGCTTCCCAGCATTCAGCTCAGGAGCAGTGAACTGGCCGCCTGGGAGTGCGCCGTTGTCATCTCAGGTGAATGAAGGGACAACACCACACATCCCGGTTTCCCTCCATTATTGCCAAAGGACGGGTCGTTATCTCCATTTTATACCCGGAGGAACAAGCGTGAGATGAGAAACGTGTCCAGCATCACTCGATTCCAAGTGGAAAACTCTCAAAGCCCAGCTTCGCCGGACCAAAAGCGTGGAGATTGATATTTTTCCAACTCATCTCTCTTTTTCCAGACATCAAACTGCTGCTTGACCACTAAAGTCATTGTTGCTCAAGGAAAAATAAACTCTCTCTATTGAAAGTGTAAACCGGGACAGACTATGAGGACAGTGCCGGGAACACGGCACGCACGTGACCAATGCCAGCTCTCCTCCTCATTCGGCAGAAGTTCACCTTTTCCCTGCCGTCGTCTGCAAAACAAACCGAACCTCCCGGCAAAATGAGTGCGAGCCAGACTCTGAAATTCTGACCCTGAGACAGAGAGAGAGAGACAGCACGGATTCACCGTTTCTAGTAAATGTCAAATGGATTTTAATTTTGAAGCTATAAAATGGAGCGATAAAATACTCAGCAAAATAGCTCAATGCTTTTCTTCTTCTTAAAAAGAGAAATAATGGGATCATTGCAGTAATGAAAAATCAATGTTTAGTAGGTTTGGAAAGCTTCCCTTAAATTGAAGTTTTCCAGAGGTGAGGCGTCTAAAAATAGAGATTGTTCTGTTCCTAACATGGCTGAATATGTTTAATCATCAATTTTATCTTTTTAAATCAAAAATACACGCCGGCAGCGTGATGGTTTGCTGGAACTTTTCTAACTCTGCAAAGGCTGATGCCCTGGCACGCGTGTTCCTTCTTAATAAAAGCAGAGCTGGTCCGCACGCATATCTGAATATATACACATATAGTCTTGCCCACACGGGCAACTGGCCAGCAGTGGATGGCACCTGAGTTCCTGTGGTGAGAGCAACATAGCCACCGTCCCCCACTTGCCTCAGTGCGTATTTGTTTGAAAGCCACAGCCCCCGCCCTGTGCTAGGTAAGGTCTGTGTGAGACGACAAAGGAAACAACACCAAGCCACGCGTGACATCCGTGTCTGGCGCGCTTTTTCCGAGCGTGTTGAGACACGCAGCCTCCTCCCACGCGAAGCCAGAAGTTCTCATTTTATTTGATTTTTTTTTTAACATCCTTTGCGAAACCCGAAAATGCTGGAATCGGAACATGTCCACAGCCGAACACCGTGCATGCCTCGAAGTTGGGTCCGGTGACGCAGAGGAGCGGAGACTGTGTGCGCAGACTCAGTCGATGCCCACGGCACGGCCAGACTCGGAGTGGAAACTAGCTCCGCTCGTCCCGAAGAGGAAAGGGGCCTTCGACACACACAGGCACCTCAGCCCGGGCCACGCACCGCCGGGGGTCCCCAAGGGTGTCAAACGCAGGCAGCCCCCAGAGCCGCCTTGCAGCGGGCGGCACCTTCACACGCTCCCGTGAGGCCGTGGGCCTCACACGGGTGCCCCAGAAGTCACCCCAGAAGTCGCCCCAGAAGTCGCCGGGTGGCCACCTGCGCCCGCCATGGGCAATACGGCGCTTTATTTTACTTCCAGGTGCCGTGGTGTGTTTCTGTGTTCACACGGCGCCCTGCCGTTCCGGGGGACTGACCGCGGTCGCCCGTGCGGCCATCCTGGGACAGCCGGCAGACACTCCACACACGTGGGGTCGCCTTGGAAGGGGACCCACTGCGGACACTGGAAATCTGGACGCGGAGGAGGTGAGGTCCCTGGCTCAGCCCTAGGGCGCAACTGGCCGGCAGAACCGGAAACGGAACTCGGCGCTCCGGCGTCTTGAAACTTCCCATGTTTCTCCCGGTGGCACGTCCATGGCCTCGGCCCAGGAGACAGCCACGCTCCCTAGTAGGCGCCTACTGACTACACGCTGCCCAGGAGACAGCCAGGCTCCCTAGTAGGCGCCTACTGACTACACACCACCCAGGAGGCAGCCACGCTCCCTAGTAGGCGCCTACTGACTACACGCCACCCAGGAGACGCCCATCCTCCCTAGTAGGCACCTACTGACTACAGCGGGAACACCCAGAGTGAGCAGAAAGATGGGGGACCCCAGACGCTCACAAGGAAATGCAGGTGGAAACCATTCCCCCAAGGTGAGCGGAGGGAAGTGGCGTTTCCTTACCTGAGGGTCTGAAAACAGCAGCCCCGTCACCTCGTGCTTCACCACGGCGGCGTTCCCGGGGATGTTCCTGGCCAGCACCGGCACTTCCAAGTCCATCGCCTGGGGGGACAGGAGGAGAGAGGACAGGTGGGCAGTCGCCCTGGAGCTGCTGTGGCGAGACACGGGCCGACCTGGGGCAGAGCAGCTCCTTGGGTACCCCTGGCACCTCTCGAAACATGCGCCATGCCCAAACGACAAAGCACATCCCAATCCCAACTCCGCACATTCAAAATCCTGCTGAATTTTAACTACGTTACTATAGCTGGAAGCTCCGAAAAAACTGTTACGGTTTGTCCGACATAATTACTGCCGTGCCGTGTTGCTACAAAGAAACCGCTGTCTGCAAATGTTCATCTGACGCTCCTTCACCGGCCGTTTGGAGTCTACATTTTCAATCACCGTCATTGCTCCCGCTGGTGAGTAATTGGCCTCCGGCACGGGCAGTGTGAATGCCACCAGCACCAGACCCGTCTCTCTGGCTCGCAGGCAAAAGGAGGAAGGAATGTGATCTATCGTCCCGATTATTGGAGGGACTGGCTTTCCTTTCCCAAAGGTCTGGGGACTGGGACCTGACGCCCCACACACAACCGGGCGCGAACTGGCAGCGAGGCCACACGAGGGAGCCCCGAACGCACAACACGCGCAGTGTTCACCTTGGTCACCTGGTCAGGCAGCGCTTGCAGGCTCTGTCTCTACGGCACTCAAAAGTTAAAGACGCCGGGTCAAAGGACACAGGTCAGTGGCTGCCTAGGGCTGCAGGGTAGGGGACAGGGGGTGGGACACGGTAACTCATAACAGGTCCAGGATTTTTTTTTTGGGGGGGGTTGATGAAAACTTTCTAAAAATGAAAGAGGTGATGGTGCGCAACTTGTGGATATTCTAAAAACTATCAAACTGCACATTCAAACCATGTGGCGTGTGACTTACATTTCAATAAGGCCATTACATTTAGAGAATAACATTTCACATAGCACCAAATACCTCTGGATTTCATTCAACAAACCTCAACCGTGTGACCTGCAGTCAATGACAAAAAGCCCCAAAGAATAATCTATAAAACGTAGAGTATGCCCAAATATTGTTTTTCAATGAATTTATTTGCATAGTAAATTAATATTTTATTGCTGACTTTTTATTGTTCTAGAGACAAATAAAATATGATACGCCTGGTGATTTCATAGAACGGAAATTGATGAGCTTTCCTTTATCTCAGGAACTTGTTTGTTTTTCAATCCAGTGGCAAATTTGGGAGCTTCATCTTTCCCTAAGGCCACGTGTTAGCCGTGTGAAAGTCGATTCTCAGGGATTGCGTCCGCTCGGGGGGAGGCGAGGCCCAAGTGACAAGCAGGTTCTCTTCCTTGCAGCCAAGTAGTTTCTCCGTAGTCCTGAAGCTGTGCAGCCTGCGGGTGACGTTTTCTGTCTGCAAAGCAATGCCACCCTCACGGGTGCCGGGGACAGACCCGGCATTCGGTCCGTGCCGTTCTAGCGACGCTAAAAGACTTGCCGTTTCTTCCAGCAGATCCTCTCCCCTGCACTTCTTAATGTGACCGGCTTTTCCCGCCGTTGACGGCTCAGCCCAATGCCACGTCCTCTCTGTGCTTCCTGGGGCTGCAGTGACAGAGCATCACAGACTCGAATCACACAAGGAAAGTTTGTTTCCTCGGGGTCCCGGGGGCCGGAAGTCTGGGACCAAGTGTCAGCAAGGCTGGTCTTTCCGGGGGGGGGGGGGGGGGGGGCCGTGAGGGGACAGGTCCGCCCCAGGCCTCTGCCCGGCAAGGAGGTGGCCGTTTCTTCCTAGTCTGTTCACACCGACCTTCTCTTCCCTGCACGCATGCACACCTGTGTCTGTTCCGATTTCCTCCTTTCACGACACCCCTCACACTGGGTCAGGGTCCACGCCGATGACCTCCCTGCATCTCCAAATACATTCACGGGCTGAGATGCGGGGGTCCGGGCTCCCACACGGGAATCTGGGGAGGGACGCGGTCCAGCCCACGGCCCCCACCGAGCCCCGGCCCACCACTTCTCAAACTGGGGCTCCGGCGCGTCCCGCCGTCCCCCTTCTCCAACTGCGCTTACCACGTTGTAGGCATCCCACGTCCACGCATCCATTTGCCGGTTTCCTGCCCTTCCTTCTGCCCCTCAAAGGGCGTCAGCTCCACGAGAGCAGGGTTGGTCCCCCGCTGCGCCGTGTCTCCGCAGCCTGGCCCCCCGTGCCGGCTCAGCGCTCGGGCACTCAATGAACTTGCTAACCCTTTGCACTCGATTGCTTTTTTCTCAATCCCTTTATTCTACTCGGGATTTAATTTTTTAAATACCCCAGATTTTACAGAGCGTGGCATAGAATAAAAAACCGGAGTTTCTTTTCACACAAACTTATTTATTTGGATTTTTTTGTATTTTAAAGCATCGACACATTCAAAGAGTCATTCTACTCTCTGTAATTTTTCTCGGCGTGAGCTGCTACCGATGCTGACCGTGTCGAGTCGCACTCGACATCCGAGTGCAAAGGGTTGACCGAGAGAAGGAACGGACGTGTCCACCCACGAGCGTCCCCTGACGGCCTGCGGCTCTGCGCTGGGCAGTGGCGGAAAGTTCCAGGCCCCGCCTTCCGGGAAAACCAGAGTTCAGCAGAAAGGATGCAACAGCACGCCCTGACACCCACCTGGCCGAGACGCCGTGTCGGGCGGGGAGACAGGAGACCTACCCGGGGTCTCAGGGACGCACAGCCGCAGGAAACCAGTCCCGAAGTCGCCTCTCCAGAAACCAGCGAAGCGTGTCTTTGACAGCAGGGACACCTCGGACGGGAAGAACTCCCAGACACAAATGACAACAGCCCAACGGACGTGGAGCGGAGCAGTCCGGGCCGGGAGTCAGGATGCCACGCCGGGGCCGAGACGCTCGAAATGCCAGAAACACAAGACCCGTCTGGCACCCGTTCGTTGGTGCTTGAACTCGCTTGATTTCTTTCCTTTCAAGATTCTGGCTGGCAACTAAAAATCGGGCAGGTCTGCAGCGTGTGCCACGGGCTGTTTGGGCGTCTGCAGGCTTTGTGGAAGGGCCACGTCAAGCCCACCAACACAGGCACGCCTTCCTGCCTTTCCTTTTTGTGGCGAGAGCACTTCACATCTTCTCTTGGCGGTTTCCGGGGATAGGATGCCTTGTTATTAACCGTAGCTGCCGTGCCGCACAGTAGCCCCTTGGAACCCGTCCCTCCCAGCGGAGACTCTGTGTCCCGTGGCCAACATCTCCCCACTGCTCCCAGCCCCCGCTTCTGCTACCCACCGTTCTACTCTCTGCTCCTGTGAAAACTCACTTGAATTCTTATTTTCCTCAGAGGCGCCCTTCAGCCTCTTATCAGGGGTCGGAACCTTCCTATTTGTAGACTCTCTGCAAGAGCCTTTGCGGCGAGTCCACCACCTTCAGCAGAGCTGGCGAAGGCTCGCATAGACACAGGCTCTGGTCTACACTGCAGGCCACTGCAAGACGCTCAGCCGCCAGGCCCCACCCCAAAACAAGCGAAGCCCAGTTTTATTTTTGGCGGGGGTGGGCACCTGTCATCTGTATTTATGGTTTTTTAACACATTGACTACCACACTAGAAAAATATTTTTTTCCCCTGGGGCCACGGTGTTTTATTAATATCACAAAAATAGAATAAAAACTCGGAAAACAAAACGATTCTTTCCAATTTAATGAACAATTTGTTATTTTTTTTATTGTTTTCTGTGTGTGGGTTACATGCGACTTGAAAAATAGCTCACGCAGCTCCAGGTAAAGAGGCCTGGGAGCCACGCACGCTTCACGAGGCCCCCCGGCTCAAAACTAGCGCGAGTTAAATACAACTCACGTGGCCGTTAATGTGTTAAGCTGCAAGGTCATTCTGATGCACGCCCGAGGCCGAAAACCACCGCGTCTAGATATTCCTGCAGAAAAGTTGGTTAGCTTGCAGTTCAATAGCCTTGACGGAGAGTGTGAAGTGGAAGTGGCCGCCGTGAGTCACGTGGAGATGGCATTGGCCCAGGTGTGCCCCTGGTATGCACATGAGGCGCATGTGGACCTGACGTCATTGGGGATAGGGTGTTTCTCAGCAGGGATGCCAGTGGGGACACTCTGGGGACAACTTTTTGATGCAGAGGACCGTCCAGCACCTTGAACGACACTCCACCTCCCTGCAGCCCCTCACACCTGGGTAAGCACCAGTAGCATCTTCCTAACTACGGCCACTGAAAAAGCCCTTCACCTTCCAAAGCGAGTAAGGCACCGTACTACCCGTACACGCGCGTGCACACCCACACACACACACACTTCAGAGCCAACCAAGGTCACCATGACGCATAACCACATGGCCTTCGAAACGCCCCCACTTGGTTCCCAACCACTAGGGCTTGATCCCGGAAGCTAAGAGGCCGACAGTCGCCTTCTTCCCTGTTCTTTGCTTTTGACGACGGCCCTTTTATTTATCCTGGGAGCTTTGTGTGCCTGCGTGCATGCGTTCGTGCACCTGCCCCAGCCGGGGGATGGGGGGGAAGCCTAATTAGGAAGACTAGGATACGAAAATGAGTTTTTTCACATTCTTTTAATGCAACTCTCTGTGGGACCCAACTCCATGATAAGCTCAAAACTCGAAACAGCTGATCAGTTGCCGGAACCTTCGCCCTGCTGCCCACACATCCCCAGCTAAAGTTTGCTTTCCGGAGTTTATCAGCAAGAAACGTGTTTCAGCAGATGGGATGTTTATACGCTTCCAGGGGAAAACACAGCTGATTCTGAAAGGCCGAAAGATCACTTCCTCCAGGAGCGACAGGTGTTCATGGCACGATGAACCACCCGGGTTATTTGAATCGGTCCTAATGAAATGCGCCCTCACCACTCCCCTAAAATCAGTCTCATTCAAAACCCTTCGCCCAAAGGTTATTTTGGAGTTTTCGAAGGGAACACAACACGTCAACAGTTTAAGGCAGCCGGAATTGCTAACAGCTGCCTTCCCTTGAAGCAGATGAGGTTTGGCGGCGACTCATCCGCGGCGAAATGCTGCGTGTGCTGCCTGTGAAATCATCCCCGGCTCCCACTTCACCTTTCCTTAAAGGAGTTGGGGTGGGGGAAGTATATCTACATACAAAGGAGCAATTCAGCGGTAGCTCAAGTCCCGGCAGCAGAACAGTGCCCGCTTTTAAAGCTAACACGAAGAGTAAAATGCATGGCTCCGGCGACTGCAGTTGAAAGCGCGGTGGAGAGATTGATACTGATCGCTGAGCAGACGGAGGTGTCGGCATCTGGCTGAAGATGAAGATGTCACAAACTCACGTTACGTGCGAGATGGTGCTACCAAAGCGTGCATCGCCGGACTCGCTCTCGGGTGTGGGTGTCCGGCTTCTACCAACTGCCCTGTGCGTTCTGTCTGGGGCGTTTTATTTATTGATTGCTTTCGAAAATGATGCCAGATTAAAAGAATATATCAGGCATAGACATCAGGCATTTCTTAAATTTAGGGAAAGGATATTTTTTCCCCCTACTTTTACCACGTTCTCCGGAAAACTTAAGGTTCGCAAATCGTACCCTTGGTGAGTAAATTCGGTACCTTCAATCGGCACCCAAAGAGACAACTGGATGTCACAAATATGTATGCTAGCATCATGGCGTCGCTCTAAGTAGACGTGGAAATAAGAGCTCCGCACATTAAGAAAGAAGCCGTGAACAACCTGACTCAAAGACCTCGGCAGCCCGTGGCCAAACCTTTCCCCCCCTACGGCAGCAGGTCCCGTCATGTGCTCATTGACCCTTTACGCCACCGTGTCTGTCACGTGCAATGCACGTGCCAAGAGCTGCCACGCCTGCAGTGGCTTGGGTTTCAATGAGGTGAAAACCCAGTGCCGAGGGGCCTGTTTAGCCAGGCACCCGCCGAGCCCGGTCCTGGCTGAGCTGGCTCTCCGCGGGGAGGAGTCCTCGATGCCATGAGCCAAACGACAGACTCAGGGAAGGAGGAGGACCTCTCTGTGTTGGACACACGCTGTTCTAGCACCCAGCGTCGGGCAGTGAAGACACCCTGCCCCAAGACACTCTGCTCGCGAGGAGATGCTGTAGGCAAACACCTTGCAGAGGGGCACAGGGACTGTCACGCCCGGCTATAGAAGAGGCAGCACAGCCGAGCCAGGGCCCGCCAGGGTTTGGGGAGCGGAGCCCTCTCACTCAGCCCTGCGCAGGCATGCGCCGGCAGGACCCGCAGGAAGCCGCAGGGGTGCCGGGAGCTCGAGTGTGGCCAAAGGACAGGAGGCGATGTGAGGGGCCTGGATTCTGGGTGAGGAGAATGGGTCCACCCTGGTCCCGGCCACCCCATCATCGCCTGCGACTGCCACCCCCTCCCCCATCTCCTGCCACCTGCGGAAGTCCAGCCCTTTCCTCTCCCTCAAATCCGGAGATGACAGAACGTGCAGACGAGAGGGAGGAGAGACCAAGCTGAAGGAGGCTGCTTGCAAAAAGACGCCTTCCTCCGTCTCCCGCCTGGCCTCTCGTAACCTCAGCTGCCCTCGGGCCAGAGGTCTCGGGGGCACAGAGAGGCGCTGCCACCCCAGCTTTATTGTACGTTGCGGCCGGCAGAGGGGGGCAGCAACGAGAAATGCAATGGCACTTTTTTTTTTTTAACCACTTCGGTGGTACGAGCGTCGGCTGCAGCCGACAGCCACGGATGAACGCGCACAGCGACTTTAGCCGACAGCCGCGATATGCCTTTTCTAATTTTTCATTCACCAAAATAAAATTGTGAACACTTTAAAAATAACGTCGTGGAAACACATATGTCTATGTTACCTATTCTGATATTTGCATGACAAGTGAAGCTGCCCGTAAAGTCAAACAAGCTTTCGGCGCTTTCAAGCTTTCCTCATCACACGAGAGCAGCACGGCCCGCCGTCCATGCGCGGCGCAGACCGCCGTGCGGCCCGGGAGCGCCGGCTGCGGGCGAGGTGTCGCGGCCCGCGAGCGCCGTGCAGAAGCGGCTAAACTCCCAGACGGAACTTTGGGGGCCCCTTTACACGCCAAACGAGACGCCGGTCGGTTTGCTCTTTCAGCTTTGAGAAGTGCAGAGCTTCCCCAAACACGAAAAAAAAAAGTGACGGACGGTTCCGTCCTCCCGCCGTGGGTGCTCCAGTTACACGGTAATTACCTCCAGGATGGCAGCGGACATGCCTTCCGAGACGGAGCTGTTCACCACGGCGAAGCAGTTCTTCACGGCCGCGTGCAGGTCCCCCTGGGGCATCTCCCCGATCTGCCGGACCCCCGAGGCCCTGAAACGACACGGGGCGGGGGTCGGGGGTGGCAGGTCTACTTCCGGGTCCCCCGGGGGGGGTGGGGAGCTGGGGAGGAGGAGGGGTGACAATCCTGGAGACATACTGTGGGTCGCAAAGCAAGTTTCCTGCACGCGGGAAGGAAAACCACGTGGGCTGAGCCTTCATCACAGCTCACACCCCTGACCGGGGCGGGAGGGAGCCCGTAAACGAGCCTGTTCCGACAGAGACACCTGCTCTCCAATACTGAAGAGTCAGAGAGAAGGTTTTTTTTTTTTTTTTTGACATTTTCCTCTGTATGATCTAGAAAACATTTTCCTAATAGTTCAACCATTTTCCCCCCAATAATTTTAAAAAATACTAAAGGGACAATATGAATAGAAATCATAAAAGGAGAGAAACAGAAGTGCTCAGATAGAGAGGACAATGCAACACGAGCCTGTGTTCCCAGCACCAGAGTGGGCAGGTATTTCATTATACAGGTTCTGCTTGGATGTGTCTTTTCTCATCAAACAATGTATTATAGATCTGCACCTGTCTTTGATAGTCTTCCCCACGCCCCAACTCTCTCGTGGTTTGGATGCACGTCCCTTCGCGTACCTGGTTTATACTGTTGCAGACATGCGCCTGCGTCTCGGAGCAGTTTAAAGACCCCTGATTGTATGTGGGGATAAAGTCAGTATTGCTTAGACCCCCGTGTGGCTGGCAGGGGGCGGGGGCGGGGCGCCCGTGGGATCTGGCTGGAATCCTGGGGGCTGTGAGGAAATCGCCTTGCAGGGGGATCACCTAGACAGGGGATGGGTCCCTCTGGCCCTCGCTCCTTCCTATCTCCCCAGTTAAAAAGATGACCAGGGCAGACCTGGTTCTAGGGCCACCTTGCCACCAGCAGGATGGGAGCCACAGGCCACATAAAGGCAGAACAGAGACCAAACGCCCCAAGGTCTCGTCGATGTCTCGGGGGAGCCCCCAGGCCAGTCCTAAGGCGATCCCACTCGGGTTTCCGTGAGGGAGCAAGGAGACCTCCACCTGTCTGAGCCGGGGCTGCTGGGCTCCTGGAGCACAAATGCAACCCGTGACCAACACACTGACGAGCTGGTCTCCAAAGTGGCTGCACCAATGTCCCCCTCCTCGGCAGGGCATGAGAATGAGGCCGTTTCCCTCCATTCCTCCAAACTCTTGATACTTAAGTCTTTTCCATTTTCCCCCATGGTGCCAGTAAAAATTATAATCCCAAAGGGGTTCCCATT